ACTAAATGGGAGATTAATGACTGCATGGACAAGGATGAGCCAATTTATTAACTGACGTATATTATGAATGCTTTCGGGCGATTTTTTTACACATTGTCAGTATATTTTCCACATTCGAATTCAAATGGCACCTTGGCAAATACCATCGTAGCACTTCAAATATGAGTATATAATGGTAGATAAAGGAAGTTAGTTGTCGGTTGGCAGTGTCTGTCATGCCGGATATGGAGTAAGTGTTTAATTAGAAAATATGTGCTGAGTACAGCAGTTTGCATGTACCGAAGCAGTTTCATTTCTTATGGTCAAATTAATGTTCCCTCAGCTTCAGGAAAGTTGCTTTTCTGGTATTTTAATGCATGCAAATTGGTTTGTTAACATTTCTTGTTGCAAATTTATGGAACAATTCTTCTACTTTGGTAGTTTTTGATGTAGAGCGGGAACACATTCTTAAAATATTTATTTATTCTGTAGTTCTAAATTTATAAGTGAGCCTTAAGTAAGATAAACTTATATTTGTAGCTGATATTTTGTGCTTAACGGAGCTCAAATCATCAATTATAGTGTTAAAGTTATAGGAAGAGTAGCAAAAGTATTCGTTAAATGATAGTAAGAGTGGTAAGGGTAATCACTTAATAAAAGTCAAGAACAACACGCAAACTTTTATATAAAACTTTTAAAATGACAATATAAGACAAATATGGGAGATCCATCATTTTCATTTGTTCATTCTTCGCTACTGCTAATAGTAGTTATAGCAGTTATACTAGTACCAAAGCATCGACAAATGATTCGATTCTGTTCGATTGTTATAGCAAAATATTTACTAATGGATCAAAACAAAATGGTAATTTTTCCGAATCTTGTCTCGTAATAGACTGAATTCTTGACCATTACATCAAGCCGAAACTCGAGCAACAAAGGAACGAATTAACTGAGTTTGATATGCAAATCTGAATTCACAACCATTAAAATACCTTCCAAGCTAAAATTCTGGCAATACAAGTAATGGTAAAATAGATTTTGCAGAATATGAATATATGAATGAATATTGATATATTCACAAATAGTCACGTTGAAATAAAATCGAGGAAAGGTGTCTGAATCGAAACAGCATCGCATTAATAATAACTCCGTACCAGGACATAAAATTATTAATATTATATTATGACAGAAAATATACAATATACAAGGTAAGAGCAGATATGTCTTTAATATTGCTAAATTGTCTGAAAACATAGAATTTCGTCCGTAAAACTAGCACAAGTTGGTTAAAAGAAACTGTAATACTGAAATGCTGAATTGATTTATCCCAAACACTAAAATAAATTCCACAGTAGAAGTAGGACCTCAGTCTATATAAAACTAGGAGAAGGAACACAACGCTGTCTAGAAAGTACATGTTCGAATGGCTAATTTTGGCAACTCCAAGCTTTTATCTAAACTGCGTTGACAAGGAGAAAAGTAGGGTGTACATTCTTTGTTATATTATTGTTTTGGTCTTATAATTTCTTGACTCTATAACCTGTTCAGTCTGGAGACAAATATGGTACGAAGTCTTGTCAGTAATCCAATGCGAAAGTTACAAAACTCACTAAATAATTAAGATGGTTTGCAAAATAGAAATTAAGAAAGGAAATCATGTTATGAACTTTTAGATTTGGACCCAGGAATAAGCCATAGTATGTGAATAGCTGTAGAATCTAATCGAACCTTAAAATTTATATGGTATCAGTGAGATATTATTAAATGTATAACAAAATAAAAGCAACTGAAAAGACAATCTCACATTATTTAAAAAGTAGACAAATTTAAATTTAAAAACTATTAACTCATTCTGACTAAACAAAAGGACTCGAATTTGATTGGCAATTAAATACAACACAACAAAAGCTTTTTGTTCCACTTGAATGAAAAAGCCATAAGAAAGCTTTTTAACGCTCTTGATATTTGTTGTATGGATTCGGACAGAACTCGAAACAATACTATATAAAGCAGTATAAAACAGTATAAATAAATAAATAAAGTATAAAAATAAAAGAATAGCGGAATAGCGGTATTTTCGAACACATACTGAAAACTTTCAAATATTATAGAAGAAGAAGAAATATTTATAGAGAAATTAATGTTATTAACATTTTAAAAGCTTCATTCTATTCACATAATGGCACAAAACAAAATAATTGGTAATCAAATAAAATTATAAAGCTCAAAATAAATTTTTGCTATAAAATCATTGATTAAAATATAAACTAAGTACAATTCGTGTAAACTTTAGGTATCTCTTTGAGATTGTCACAATAAATCAACTAAGTTTACAGAGCTTTATTTCACTAAGACCTCATACTCATCTAAGGTCTATTCGAGATTGCCATATTTTAAACATTTTTGAAATTCTGTAACTTATGTGCTCTGCAATTTGCAAATATTATAAGATTCCTTTCATCTATTAGAAGTTTCTGTTAACATTTCCAGTCATATGTTAGCAGTTACTGTTAACAGCTAAAATATAAAAACATATCTGTTTTTGGTGAACAGTTCGTTAGCAGTAACAAACTTTACGTTCTGACTGCAATGGGTAAACACTTTTCATTTAAAATAAAAAAAATTAAATTAAAAAAATTAGCAACAATTTCCTTTACCTACCAAAGTCGCCACATAAACAACAATTCCAGATGCATGTTCTGTTCTTGCTTGCTTTAACAGAATTGTTTTAGTTTCTGTTAATAACAGAACATACTATCGCAATATATGCTAAAGCTATATGATTTGCTGAATGAAACTTTTGTTACGAACCTTTTGATGGTCCACTTGGGCAAGAGTTTTGAAAAGCTGTGCGCGACGTGCGACATCTTATTTTTAACTGATGTTATTTAAACTTTTACAAAGACCGTAATATTACGGTCATAGATTCATAAGCTTTTGCCAAACATTTATCCAGAAAATTTTAACTTAAAACCGGATACTCCAAACTTTTAAAGCTTATAAGTGACGTTTGATTAGAAATATGATGAGTTTCTTATTGTTTATTAAATAAATTAAAAGTAATACGGTGGAAGTAAGTAACAAAGCCTGTTATTGTAATAGTTCTTACCCACTTAATAGGAACCAACTCTTAAACAACCAATCTAATCTATATTCTGACCGGGACCATTTTGTACTGCCAATTACCTATAATTTAAAACAAAAATTTCCAAATGAATAGATTTGGCATATTCTTTTCATAGAGTTTTGTTGCTTATGTACGTTGGTGAATCATTTTACACAGGATCTCTCCTAATCCTATCAAAAAAAACGTCCAAGAAAAAGTATATTTTTTGGGTAAACTGCCATTATTTTCTTATGTGGAGTACTTCCAACATTTGTCTGTTTGTCTTAGGTTGCTGAATATCTAAAGTATAAATTAAAATTATATATCTTTATAATAGAAAATTATTCAAACCCATTCAAATCAAAAATACTTATTTTCAAAACCCAGTAATTGTGTTAAGAATTGCATTGTAATAGAATATACCTAGCTAGCTCCACTTACAATTTAGCTGTTCCAAAACCACTCTTGAGTTAATAAATAACGTTAACGTTACTGTGGAAAGTAAATTCTTAAATATATTGCTCAACTTGGTGAAAGGATAAAATCTACTCTAAAATAGAATCTGGAAAGTCGAAGTCGAAATGTCTCCTCTCTAATCATTTATTTCTTAGTGGGATAGCAAGCAGCTTCATATCAACAATAACTGGGAGTCAGGATACAGCATTATGCCTAAAGCAAACATTTGTGATGTAGTAACAGAAGTATGTAGTATCACATATACAGTTCAGGATAAACACGGAAGAAGCAGATATGCCTTTTACATTACTGAACCATATAATCCCAATGAACCAGTCATAAGCCAGTACGAGTCAGTATTGATCATTTCAGTACAAAGTACATAATATCTAATATTGTAGGTGGTCAAAAGCCTTTGCTACTCAATGTGTTGTAATGTGTATTATAATATAATAGTGGTTATAATATAGATAGTGGTGAATAACGAATTATTTCTTTGAAAAATTAAGACTTGTTTTTTAAGTTTTTTTTTTTTTGATGCCATGATACCATATTATCTTTCACGTCTTTTAAGTCAATCGCCACAAATTTTAATTTAATTTTTTTTTTCATTTTTTGTAATTTGTAAGTTCAGTTATGAGTATTTCTATATGAAGACTATAAAAAAGTTGAAGAATTTAAACATTTTTTTTAAATGATATTACATTTTATCATAAATGATTCCTAGTGCTTAGATTGTCAACCAATGCCTTTTATTACAAGAAAATTAGTTAGAACAATATATTGATTTCCCCTAAACACCTGAAATAATTATAACTTTTTACAACACTTTAGTGTTTTTCGGGTTTTGCAAAAAAAATAATACTTAAATTAAAAAATTGTAATTCGATCTTATTTATGAATTGATTATTTTATTTTGGTGTTATTTTGCCAAAAAGAAAAAATAATTTTATTGGTTTTTTATTTATAATAGCCACTCTAAGCTGTGAACCAAAAAGTATGAAAACAATAAGTCCAACTAGCATTCAAAGATAAAAAGGATGAAATTGAAATCCTCATAAATGAAAGCAGACACACAACGCACTAACATTGACCAAATTTAATAAAGGAACGCAGATGAAAATTGAAAACCCAATTTCCAAATTGTAACAATAACATTGGCTTTTCTTTCGCACACTCACCAATTTTTTTCTTCCTTAAGAGCACAACCCTGACACATTTGGCTTAAGGATATTAAGGGTGAATGTGTTAGTCTGATAAACTAACACACATATTCCAATATTTACGCATATATGAAAATAGTTTTAAAGGATTCCATTTTTTTGGGTTGCATTATTAAGCTAATTCATCATTTTAACGCTTTAAACAAATCCTTATTTCATTTCTCGTTCCACGTTTCTCGTTTTGAGTTGAAAAAATTAGTTTAAAATAATGTTATCGTTTTTTTATTTTTTAGGGCACAACATGGCCTCATCACAGATACTACAATTCGATAACACAGCAACTACATCAACAATTACAACAAAGGCAACTATCACACAATCAACTATCGAACAAATTAACGGATTCAAATCCGGAACTTTCGAAATACTATCGAAATCTCAACAGCAACAACAGCAACAACAACAAATCCTATATTTGCTTGAAAAGCAAAGCAAAGAATTGCTTGACATCGGCCGGAAGCAATTTGCTGAAAAAAAATCGTCATTGCCATCAAAGCCCAGCAGCAAGAATAACATTTCTGCCCAAACTGAAAAACTGGAAAACAAACAGGCACACTCTTCAAGCATCATTACAACTGCCACGATTGCATGTGACCCTGAGGAGCAAAAGGAAACAGAAAAGACACAGCACAGAACAAAACATCATCAGATTACACAATTACAACAACACCAACAACTACAACAACAACTACAACTACAGGAAGAAGAACGGGAAAAGCACCCACAATTTCAAAAGGAAAGAAAACCAAGGAATAATAATATATGCGAGGTTTTCACCGTTGAAACCGTTGAAGCAACATGGAAAACTGTGTCAAATTCTACACCTACGAAATCGACACAGGAACACAAATATTTGCAACAAAAGCAAGCAGAATGGATGCAACTACCAACACAAAGCACAGATGATGCACAGGCATCCGTGTGGCACCTCGGAAAAAACGGATATCAGAAAGGTACGCATTACGGAAAGCATGCAACACAAATACAACAGCAACGAGGAAAAGAAAACAACCCAAAAAGGATGCAAGCACAGGATAACACAACAAGTGATTATGCACTCAACATCATCAACAATAACAAGAACAACAACAATAACAATGACAAACATATTGCAAACACAAATGAAACAATGTTGGATTCCTATACAAAGCAAGCAACAGCAGCTAAGAGCAACAGCTGCAGCACTGATTTTAATAAACTACAAAAAAATGGTGCTCACAAAGAAAGAGAAAACGCAACTGTCAACAACAAAACAATTAATAATACTGTTTACGCAACCGCCTCAAGCCATTGGCCGGTCTGCTGTTGTTGCAAAACTACTGCTAAAGACAGCAACAAATTTACTACAGGGATACACGTATCGCATAAGCAACAAACTGCAACACAAGTCTCCTTATACAAAAGCTGCCAAAATTTTGCAACATGTTGCCGAGCAACTGTGCATGCAAGCGAGCAACATGCAATTAATAAACAATCACTTAATGCTTCCAGAAATCGCAAAACCAATGCAAACTGTAATGCCAGAACAGCAGCCGCAAATGTTGCTAAGCAATCAGCAACATCAAGCAACACAAAACCAAATACAACTTTTATATCGAAACAACGAACATTTTTTACAGCAACTAATGACTGCAACAATTGCCAAAAACGCGAAGAATCTATTGACAATGGAAGAAAAACTGACGAGGATAGCAATCGCACGAGACCTTTGTCTACACTACAATTGGTTACTGAGAAAACTTTCAATATATTTTCGGATTTGCAAAAATTTGGACGCGCTCTTTTCTCACTTCTTATCATCTTTAATATGCTGCCTCTATTTTATGCAGGTGAGTGCAATAAACTAAATACTTAACTATGTCTCACCTCATCAATCATAATTAATTGTATATCCCTGTACATTTCTTAAAAAAATAACCTACAACTACAGTCCAATATCGATAATTACTAATGTTGTAGTATGTTATATAAGGTAGTTGCATTATTTGTTATTTAATAAGAGAATTCACCAATGTAATTCAAAGAATCGACTGAACATAAAGTATCGAAGTGTGCAGTCCCTGTAAAGTACCATCCTTTTAAGACACATTTTCATTTTACTATTATAAGTGTAAGTTAAGGTAGGTTAGGTTCGGAAGGCGCGTACTGAACGTACGGAGGCATATATTGCCCATTGTGATGCCCTCAAAAATTTTGTCGGGAAGTTAAGGTAACTGATATAACTTTTATATTTCTATATTTTATGCAGTCCAAACTAATCGGTCTGGTATATTGTTCAGTTTCTATAAATATATCATTAGTAAAGATTCCCATTCTTCCTTTTGAAAGATGGATAACCAACTTTTTTTTACTGTATATTTTATGTTTCCACGTCCTTTTTTTTATTATTTTAGTCATAGCGACAGCCATATCCGATCGCCTTCACAATCTTTTCGATTCCATTCTACATCGTGATCGCTTTTATCATTCACAGTGACGAATTTTATGCGTCGCGTCTTTAATCAGAATACTCTTGTCTGCTTTATCTATTTATCAGAAGAAGTGTTATATATATTTTTCTTTTACTTACAATAAATGTTTAAGTAATTGGTATGCGTATACCAAAAGTATCCGTTATTCAGTTCATATAAAACACTTACAGCTTGACTGAGGTGGAACTGAGGAGGAATTGAGGAGAATTGTTAACAACTTCATTTTGCTATTTATAATAGTTTTAGCGTAACAAACAAAATGTGGCTGTACAAAATATTTTATTAAAGGATGTGTACTCACACATCATTTGAAAAATTCCACAACACTCGTAAGTAAACATTTGAAGCACCCACAGTTAAATTTCAGCTAGAAAAATAAATGGGAAAATCTGCAAATTCATTGCATTGTGTAAATTTTGAAATTAAATTTGAGTTGTGTAAGCACATAAACCCACTTGCATGGGTTAAAGCCACATTACCACATTTACCCGATACTCAACAGCAAACAGGCCCAGCAAGAGGCAGAACGGCAGAGAGGCATCACATTGACAGATTGAAGCAGTTTTGAATGTCATCAACACAGTCGATTTTGTTATTTAATTTGGATGAGAAGAATTTCTTTACTTGGGTATATCCTCAGTCTGGTTTTGGGTTGTTACACTATACTTGTGTTAACAACCCTGCATTTCATGTTCTTCGTCTTTTAGTTCTACTAGAAGTAAATGGAATTAAGTCAAATACTGTGGCTACACAGACGTTGAAGACATTCTGACATGGCTTAATTATTTTAAAATAATTTGTTTAAAATTGATTAATAGATTTCATTAATTTAATATCCTTGATGGGTTTTTCGCTTCATGTGTGTCCTATATGCATAGATCTGGGAAAGTAAATTAAGCGTTCAAATGGAAATTAAATGTGGGAATATTTAAAGGATTTCATACGTAATTGTGTGATAAACTTAATTTTATTAACAAGGTGATTATATTGACAAACGGACAAAATATTTACAAGAAACTCCAATTATGTGAATTTATCCATTTGCTGCAGCAGGTGAGAAACGTATTTGTATTTGTGAGTTTGTTAATTTATGCAGACTTGCATACTTATATTTTAATAGTACTTATAATAATAATATTTTTTATTGAGAATTTTATGACGTCTGACAAGTAATTTAGTTATATTTTTTAAACAAGAAGAGTCAGTTTCAGAAGATACACGGTGTAAAGATATTACTTTTCATTAATTAATCAAGTTTATTTTACAGTTAGCTATTTGCACCAAAGCAAATAATTCCTATCTCTTTATTAACAGCGAATACTTTCGAGAAATTCCGAGGAATACTCAGCACAGTGAACGTTGGCTTCAATTACACTTACTATCTTATCTATGTAGATGTTAAAAATATTATGCTTTGCTTTCAAACCTTAATGACTGCTCCTGGTTCTAAACATGCTTGGACATAGACATAGCAGATGGTGTAACGTGTTCAAGCGATAGTAGATATGTACTACAGGAGATATAACAGGGTAGGCCAAACGTATCGTAGCTCCATACTTATAGTCAAATGTTCCGTTAGAACAGATATTAACCTATGTAATTCCGATGTACTTCTATGTACCAAGTCGAAAGCTCTACTGTTTGCCTGTCGCAAAACATAGTTATAAATCAACTTACGCCTAACTGTTGGCAGTAGCAGTTAATGAAATGATTGACATTTGTAGCATCAAGGTTGACAGATGACAGTTGCAAGGAATCTTTGAAAGGAAATGTTAGGTAAAAATAAGGAAATTTTTAAAGCGTGGAGATTTAAAAGTACAACAATTTATAAGGATTTATAAGGATTATATAGTTGTATACGCGTTAGTTCTAATTAGTAACAGGAAATACAATAAAGTATTTTTTTATTTTTTTCCTGGGTGGCTTGGCCGTCAGTACCATCGTCATGATATCGGTATGCCAGACTTTTATCGACTAAAACATCATACCTCTTTATCAGGAAGATCTTCCGGGACCACATTCGTATTACTTCGGGAAGGTTCCGGTTTGTTTGCTTGCTAATAGTCTGCGTCCAGACTTCAGCATAATCTTTGCTTACTCATGTTCGTCTGTGGAGAGAAATATCTTCCTGATTTTTAACACATGTTCAGCGAATCTCTCTACAGCATTCTAAGCATCCAAAGAAGTTCAATAGGTGATTATAAATAAGCATTGGTTGTTATACCAGTCGCTATTTAGTTCATATCTTAGTGGAGTTTTTTTCAGTATCTATATCAACTTGTGCAAAGTGTTGAAATTAATGATATTCCATTGTATACCTGCAATAAATGTAAGGCAATATAAGTAATTAATATGTCACATATAATTCGAATTCTTAATTAAAACAAATCCTGTAAAAATATTTGATGTATTATTTGCTTGTCACTTTAAGCATTAAGCCAAATTTCATCCACATATTCTTTATAAATCGTGTTGAAATTGTTTCTGCAGATAGGTCGTTCCATAAAATTAAACTCATGCCGAAATCCTTAGAATTCTTCAAAATTTGATTACAGCCGACAAACTTTTGCAACTTCAATGTATATAAGACGGATATGATTATACAAAAATGGTAAACTTTATTTTTATAAGGGAAACTTTTCCTTTTTCAACAAAATATAAAAATCATTTTTGCTTCATTTACGTTTTGAACCCTACGCTTCGGATAGGAAAGGCACAACGGTAGGCGATAGGTGGTAGATTTTTTTTTCAATTAGCCAGTGAAAAAAGTTTCTCACTAATGAATTAAAACAAAAATTGGAGTAAAGTCCTCACCTTCATCAACACAAACAAGACAACAATTTTGAAACAAATGACGAAAAACAATGAAAAAGTTTGTTTTCACATCAAAAACTTTTACCATTTAACCGTGTGGAAGAGGCAGGAACCAGCTTAGTTGAGGTGTTAGTGTCAAAAAATTAATAAACTCTGTTCGTTTTCATTTTTCTTATTTGGAAATGGAAGAAAATTTAGAAGAAAGATTTTTTGAGTCAAGCAGAATGCAAAAAGAATATTCAATTTAAAACCTATACAATTTTTTCTGTTTAATTTTGGAAATAAATTTCAACCCGGTAGTTTTGTCAATATGTGGCATCCAAGTTAATGGGTCTCAATACAATGCTTTTGCAACTAAAAATAATGCGGCGGGTTTCCGTTTATTTACATTTTTTAAGCAAATTACCAATACTTGACTTCACATTCATACACTCTTGTGGATTTTACATTATTTGCACCGTTTCTTTGAATAAAATTCTATTTCATTTTTTACGCCATTAGTTGTTAATATTACTAACAATGTCTCTATGCCACGCCTTAATTGGCATTCTAGCAAATGTTGGGTTTTTTATTCTTAATATATTATTTTTTTTAATATCTATTCAAATGTATCCTTTGAAGCGTAAAATAAATCACATTTTTTTATAATTGGACTTTTTAGGGTCATGAACGCATCCAGTTAAAATTCTGTGCATATTTACAACTAACAAGAGACCCTTTTTAATGGATTTGAATTTAAAGTAATTAAAAAGATATTGTGGATTTTTTACGCTTGTTGGAAACGTTTTTCTTTAACAATTATGAAAAATTGGATTTAGAACTCATTAATCGTAAAGTAACTTAAAAGTTACTTTTGCAGTAATTGCATAAAGACTTGAATCAGTTACTGTAAGGAGTTTTTTTTGATAATATAATTAAATTTTTTAAATTTTCTTCAAGAAAACATCTTAAACATCTTAAATTTAAATTCACTCCAAGAAGATTAGAATATGTGAATTCTTTGTCATAACAGTTAACTCTAGAAACTACAAAACTTTATCCAAATTTAATTGCCTTCATGCATAAACAATTGCAAATACTCTTAAATTTTCATATATTTTCCTTTAATAATTTGACAAAAAATAGGGAAAATTCAATAAGGACGGCTCACTTATAAACGTCGTCGTTTATAAGCCAGCTGAAGCCAGAAGTATTTAAGCAGATGTTTAACTATTTGCATGCTTTGTGCATATCTTAATAAATATCTTGATTACTTTTATGGGTTAATGTTGCAGAAATATAAACAAAAAAGGATCCAAAACGAAGGACGCAAGTAACTAAACAACGTGAATACAAAATTCGCGCTTTAAGTTACTTTTAACAGCTTCTTTTTGCTTCCTTTCTCTTAACATACAAAACAGATACAAACACACAATCTTACCACACTATCCTGACGACGATAACTACAGCAACAACAACAACGACAACAAAACCAATAGCAAGGCGATATAAATCAGCAGATTTGCACTCAAACAATAACCGCCAACAACATTCGCAGTTTAGCA